CAAAAATTGGTAGCCTTTCTATATATCAATAACAAGCAATTGGAGAAAGAATACTGGGAAATGATCCCATTCAAAATTGCTGCAAAAATATATATATACCTTGGAATAAATCTGACCAAAGACACCAAAGAACTATACATTGAAAAATTTAAATCATTAAAGAAAAATATTGAGGAAGACACCAGGAGATAGAAGGACCTCCCATGCTCATGGATTGGAAGAATTAATATTGTGAAAATGACCATCCTACCAAAAGCAATATATATATTCAATGCAATCCCAATCAAAATCCCCATGACATACATCACAGAATTAGAAAAAATCATCCTTAAATTCATACGGGAGCACAAAAGACCCTGGATAGCCAAAGCAACCCTGAGCACAAAGAGCAACACTGGGGGCGATTACTATACCAGATCTCAAAGTATACTACAGAGCTATAGTCATAAAACAGCATAGTACTGGCACAAAAATAGGCACATAGATCAATGAAACATCATTGAAGATCCAAACCCGAGTATGTGCAATTTCAGTCGCTTGATATTTGACAAAGGCACCAAGAACACACAGTGGAGGAAAGACAGCATCTTCAACAAATGGTGCTGGCAAAACTGGATCTCCACCTGTAGAAGAATGAAACTGGATCCTTATCTTTCACCTTGCACAAAAGTCAACTCCAAATGGATCAAAGACCTCAATGTGAAACTAGAAGTCCTGAAACTATTAGAATAAACTTTATTGGCAGTAATATACATGATATAGGTGTAGGAAAGGATTATCAGTGTAGGAGACAATGTTCTAAACCAGGCATCAATTGCTCAGGAATCAAGGTCAAGAATCAACAAATGGGACCTCATTAAACTCTAAAGCCTTGGTACATCAGAGGAAGCAACCAAGAAAGTGAAGAGAAAACCCAGAGAGTGGGAGAAAATTTTCACCAGTGACACATCTGACAGAGGTTTAACATACAGAATATATAAAGAACTCAAAAAACAAAGAATTGAGAAACCAAATGATCCAATTAAAAGATGGGCTAAAGATCTAAACAGAGAGTTCTCAGGGGAAGAAATGAAGATGTCTAGGAAATATCTCAAAAAGTGTTCAACATCATTAGTAATTAGGGAAATGCAAATTAAAACCACCCTAAGGTATCACCTTACCCCAATCAGACTGACTAGGATCAAGAGAAAAAATGATCCCAAATGCTGGAGAGAATGTGGAGAAAGGGGAATGCTCATTCACTTCTGGTGGGATTGCAAAATTGTGCAACCCCTATGGAAAACAGTGTGGAGAACTCTTAAAAAACTAAAAATGAACCTACCATATGACCCAGTTATACCACT